GTGCTCTGACAAAGCTCAGCAAGTTCATGTTGTGTGTCCCCGTAGGTCACCTTTCATGCTTTCTGCTGGATTTGACATTGCTGACTATCCTACCATTCTTGGTTGACTTTTTTGCCTTCTCTTCTGGTTTTCCTCCTTTCATATGATTCTTCTGGACATTCTAGAACCTGCTTCCATTTCTGCTTATTCGTAGACTTTCCAGAATCTCCACCTTCAGCCCAAACTTCCCATATCTTCACATCATATCCCAACAGTCCTTACTGGACACATCCATAGGATTGAGCGTAGGCTTCTCTTACTGAACAGATACAGAAGTGAGTCTACTGTTCCACTCCTTGTCCCACCTCTCAGTTGCAGTGGGCTGGTATACCTTCAAAAGATCACACTGAAACCCTGATCCCAGTGTGATAATGCGTGGAGGTGGTGCTCCTGGGAAGTAACTAAGTCACTAGGCGGGAGCCTAATGGGTGTGACTGAGAGCTTATGAGAAGAGACTCCACAGAGATAGCTAGTTTTCTTGCTGCCACATGAGGATACAATGAGAATTTAGGCCTTACATGAACCTGACCATATCCTGGCACCCTGATTTTGGACTTAGCCTCCTGAATTATAAGTGAAAAAGTATGTTGAAAAGCCAATCTTTCTATGGCACCATGGTACAGCTGTCCAAAAGGACTAAGAAGTCAGGCTCCTTGTTTTATGTCAGGGAATGATAAACCTATTTCACCTGCAAGGTTGAAATTCAAGCTGGAGTCCAAGCAAACAGTAGACCCTTCCCTTTCTAACAATCACAACAACCCGTCATCACCATATCCAATAGATGCACTTCTTAAACATGTCTCTGCCCTTCTCCGAAAGAGGGTATGAGCCATGTGGCGGTTGAAAGCCCGAGGCTCTGTGACCTGGCCCTGTCCTCTCCCGCCTTACTTCCTGCCACTTCCTGCCTCAGCTTACACAGGAGTGCAGCTGCTCTCCTCAGTGGTGTCCCCCCATATCCTGTGCCTCTGCACAGACGATGCTCGCTCTGCCCCAGCTGCCTTTTCATATTCCTAGCTATTGCATGACTAACCTGCACATTGCTCAGAATCAGCTCAGGGCCACCCAGCTATCAAAGCAGGGATGCCCTCCCTCCCAACTAGACTGTGGTGCTTCTGTTTCTACTTCCTTACCACTCTGAGCAGTGCCTAGCATGGAAGTGCTCAGTGAGTGACTTTTCACTAAATGTAGGTCTTAGAACAGAAGTTTTCTTTTTAGTTTTTTTGGTACTGGGGATCGAACTCAGGATCTTGCGCTTGTGAGGCAGGAGGTGGAACCACTGAGCTAAGTCCCCAGCCCTAAATGTATGTTTAATAAATAATCTAGATAGCTTCAACTCCTGGTTTGTAGTTCTTCCCCCCAAAAAAGAACGCATTTTGGGGGGTGCTGGGGATCAAACCTGGGCCCTTAAGCTTGCGAGGCAGGTGGCAGAGCCACTGAGACAAATCCCCAGCCCTGTAGTTCTTTCAAGAAGATAAATTTAGAGGCTTGATGACAGTCTATCAGCATAGAAACAGGCCAGTCTGAAATCTCTGAGATTCTATTGATTCATCCTGCGTGTGGTTGGGATAATTGCAAGGGCGGGGCTGCAAGCCACAGGAAAACAGTTGTTAATAAAAAGATAATAAATGAACACAACTGGATGTGACTACTTTATTTTTTTCTCCAGATAGTCCCAGAGTCAAGACAGTTCAGCTTAGGATTTTCAACGTTATGATGTTGCAAAAGCTAAACGCACTCAGTAGAAACTGTGCTTTGAATTTTGGGTCTGAATCTTTGCCTGGGTGAGTGACATGCAGGGCTGTACTCTCTGGTGAGGCAAGGTGGTCAGCCTTGTGATCTCAAAGCAATGACTGACACTCTCTGTGTCCTGAATGGCTGACCCATGGTGGTGATCAGTTAGGTGTACTAATTACACTTTTGGCTTATTATGTTGGCTGTATCAGGACGTAACCACGTATGGGCTGAGGGGCACCTGTGCTCCCTTGGTTCCCTGCATATCATCTCGGTGTATGCAGTCTTCAACCTAGTTCTCGTTATGTATGCTAGCTGTGCTGCTGAAAGCCTTCACAACCACTGAACTAACAAATTCTGAACTATAAATCCTAGGGAAAATAGGTTCCTGTGAGCCTCTGGTTACAGTGTGTGGGAGGAGTATGCTGGGAATTTAACCCAGGGCTTTGTGAATGCTAAGCATGAGCTCTAGTCTCAACATTCTGTCAGCTGAAACAGTGTCTGCAATATCTAGGTTTGTGTGTCAACTCCCTTGTAAAACGAGCTGGTCTCATCAACACTGAGGACTTGAGCCTTTGTCCTGTATAACACCAGGTTTTAAAATATTTTACAATTTTTATTATATTCTCAGGTTTAACTTTTAATCACAGAATGAGTCAGTGAACTGGAGAAATTAAGGTAAAAAGAGACAAGGCTACATTTGAAACCTGAGAATCATGTATTTGGTTTCTTTTCCCACCTAAATTTTGCTTTGTACTTAAACAAAAGTTATATGTTGACCAATTATAGTTGTGTTCATTTATGGGGTACAGTTTTTTAATAGGATGTAGAATGATTAAGTTAAGCTAATAAATCTATTATCTCCAATATTTGACATTTTTGTCATAAAATTTGAGATTTACTTTGTAGTAACAGTGAAACACACAGCACTGTGCAGTAATTTGCTGTACTGTGCAACTGATCTAAAGGAAGTGAGATGTTCTCATCTCATGGGGGCTCCGTACCCTCTGATGACCACCTTTCTGATCTCGCAGCCTCCACCTGTGTAGTAACCACCATTCTACTCTTTGCTTCTAAGATGTGACTGCTTTAGATTTCATGCATAAGTAAGAACAGGTAGTGTTTTTCTGTTTGATTTATTTTACCTAGCATAATGTTCCTCAATTCCATCCAGGCTGTTGTAAATGACAAGCATGTTTTCCATTTGTAAACACTAAATAGTAGACGACAACTAACTAACTAACTAACTAAATAAATAAAATCACTTGTAGTTAAAAAAAAAAGACTAAATAGTATTCCGTTGTATGTATATACCACATTTCCTTTTTCTCTCCATACCCTGGTAGACGGTCTGGTTCCACTTGTTGGTTACTGTGAATAGTACTATGGGGAACACGGGGCTGTAGATATCCATGTACTGGTTTCAAATCTCTTGACTAAATACTTAGAAGTGGGACTGCTGGATGATGTAGTAGTTAAGTTTTTAGTTTTTTGAGGGCCCTCTATACTGTTTTCCATAATGGCTATGCTAATTTATATTCCCACCAGTACTGTGCAAGGATTTCCTTCAGAATGAAATAAAATGGAAAACCAATCCTGGAAAGGAGAATATGGAGGACTTATAACCTTCACACGCTGCTAGTAAGGCAAGATGAAAAACTGTCCGGCAGTTCCTCTAAAAGTTCATCTCAGAATTACCACATGGCCCTGTTATTCTGTTTCTAGAACATACTAAACAGGACTGGAAAATTGTATTCAAACAACATCTGCACAGTAGTCTTGGGAGGAATACTAATAACAGCCAAAAGTTGCAAACAATCTAAGTGGATGAATAAATTAACAAAGTTAAATGAATATATCTAAATAATGGAATATTATTCAGTCATAAAAGGGTATTAATTACTTGGTATATGTGAAGACATGGATGGACTTCAAAAATATTATGCTAAGTGAAAGAAGCTGACATAAAAGGTCACATATTGTATAATTCCATTTCCATGAAATATCCAGAATATGTAAAACCACAGGGACAGGAAGCAGATTAGTGCTTTCCAGGGCCCGGGGAGGGAAAATTGATAGAGACCGTGTAATGGGCACGGGGCTCCCTTTTGGGAAAAATGAAAGTGCCTCGGCACTAGACAGAGGTGAAGCCTGAACAGTATGTTACTGTACAAAGATCATTGAATAGCTCGCTTTAATGTGGCTAATTTTTATGTGAACTTTACCTCAGTAAAAGGTCAGGATTTAGCAGTGAGGTGAGACTCACAGATATGGACTTCACAAATATGTGATAATGAAAAATATTGCTATTTTATAAAGGTGAAGAAACAGAGCCAAAAATCAATTAAAAGGTGTGATGTAAACGCCATGATGTCATTTTAATAGGCTTTCAGTTTTGTGCAAAATATCAAGTATCACAGTATCCCTGTAGACAAAATTCAGTGCACTGAACATAACTGCATTTCAGAGTGACTGCTTAATGAACTTTTACATCACAATGTCACACAGCATTTTCAGTGCCGGAGCTGATGCTAGTGTGGGCCCAGCATGGGTGACACGCAGAGGCTCTGAGTAGGTGGGGTGAATGGCAGTGAGTCCTTGAGGGCAGGGCGCCTTTTTTCCTTTGTGCCTGAGCCACCTGTATAGGGCTGGCCATAAACGAGACAGGCCACAGAGGAGAGGGAGCTTTGGTCTCTGTGGCTTTGCCACTGTGAAGTGTCTGCCTTGCAGTGCTGTAGTCTGGATCTGGAATGTCCGCTAAGGCCTCACACAGGTTCTGTTAGAAAATGTAGATCCTATAAAAGGTGAGGCCTAGTGGAAGGGTTTGGGCCACTGGAGACATGGCCTGGAAGGGGACCGCGGACCTGGTCTCTTTCTCTTCCTGGCTGCCTTAGGTAACTGGGCGTCTTCTGCCACATACACCTGCTCTGATGAAGTCTGCCGTCATAGGTCCAAAGCAGGGAGCAATTGGTCATGGGATGAAACCTCCAAAACCCTGAGCTAAAATAAGCTTTTCCTTTTTTCGGAGTAGTTTACCTCTGGTCTTTGTCAGTGGTAGAGAGCCGGCTAACACATGCAGGCTCACGTGGGGCAGGGCTCCATCCTGGTGCTGTGATCCAGGAACAGAGTGACAAGTTCCGGTTCAGGACAGAGCCAGGAAAAGCAGGCTGCTGCAGAGGAGGGAGGGGTACCAGGGAGAATTGGAGGGCGCGTGGCCTGTGACAGCTCACCTGCACTCCAGCCCTGTGTGCTCTCTCCACACACATCTTCTGGATCTGCACCTGCTTCTCCGGCTTCTTCCCCTGCATCTTCTCCAGCCACAGGTCATCCCAACTGACACGCGAGTGCTCAAAGGGTCTCCGGGGCTGCGGAGGGGCTTCTCTGGGAGTATCCTCTGCAGCGGTGGAGGGCAAGGTCCACGGCACTACCCGAGGGGTGCAGAGTGGCTTCTGAGCTGGCTCTGTGTGAAAATGGGAGCAGCTGGGCTTTTCACCTGGTGGTCCTTCCCACGGCACGTGATTCTGGAGAGCAGAAGAAAACGCGTGAGGGCAGAGCAAGGGCATAGCGACTGGGAACACTGTGCTTCGCCCGGCTTGGATTAGATACAACACTTTTATTAATTTGCAAAGTACAAATCTAAAGCAATACTTCGTTCACATTAATTTTGGAAAATATGAAGATTAGGGACAAAAAGATTTTTTTTTGGTACCAGGGATCTAACTCGGGCCCTTGCACTTGCAAAGCAGGTGGCAAAACCACTGAGCCAAAATGATTCTGTTTTGATTAAAATGTCTACTTTCTTTTTGTTGTTGTTGTTTTTTGTTTTTTTTACTGGCTGAGTAAAGGTTTTTTTTATTTTTCTCATTGAGTTTATTGGTACATTTTAGGGATACAGTACAGTTACACTCATCATGGGGATCTTGTACCTTTACATGACAGGTATTGGTTCTCATTCTTTCCCCTTGTCCCTGCCCTCCCTTCACCCCCTCCACCCTCCCCATTAATAAACACTTTATTTCCATTTTTTCATTTTCTCATATTTTTTTCTTTTCCCTTATTCCCTTTCCCCTACCCTTCCCACTTTCCCTACACCTTTAGCCCTTTTCTTCCTATTTCACATTGCCAATTATAAGATTTGGATTTTATTTACACTTTTAGTTTTTCGTACCAGAAAAACTATTCCATATTTACACGTGTAGCTTATTTATATCACTAAAGAGTATGGCCTCAATATGCATCCATTTTCCTATGAAAATGCCTATTTTTGATGCTCTTTTAAACAAGGTCTTTTACTGTGAGCAAAGCCTTACATCTTGAAAGTAGGACTGAACTTAGCATGCTCATTAAAAAATTTACAACCACCTACCAGTCCAATTATTTAAATGCAGGCTAGCCAAAACATTACGTACTTTTTGTTAATTTTTATAAAATAATGGGAAATATAAAATGACAACTTTATCAGATTTATTTAGTACAGGAATTCACTGGCTGGAATAACGCTTGCCCTGGTGATGCCAGGGGAGTCCACGTGTGAACCAACATGCTGCCCTAGTGACGCTGGCATAAACCATTCATTGGTTTGCTGTGGCCAAGCTCTTGCTCAGGCAGCCTTGCTTCAGAGCAGAATTTAAGCAGAAGCACACTTTGGGCACTTATGACTTAGTCTTCCTTTGCCAGTGCTGCTGAGCACAGTGTAACACAGCTACCTTGCCAAGCGCAAACACTGCCCACGTTTGTGGTTATGCATTCAGGGACCTTCTCCACTTCGAAATGGAATTCGTTCAGGATGGCAGGACACTCAGGCTTCGTGCTGATGTCACCACCACCTCTACTGCCATGGCCACTGGGAGAAGAAACCCTTGCTCTTCCCATGTGCTGCCTAAGGCCCACCTCTCTTCCCCCATAAACGCACCCTTCATAGCAGCAGCATACAAAGTGTGGTCCAAGCTGTTAGTGTGTGCGTCGCGTGGGGACTGAGCTGTGATTTCTTTTCAACACTTGCACAGTCTAACAAAGGACGTAAATGTGTACACAGACAGGAATGAAGAGAGGGGATCATGGGGGAGGAAAACCAAGGGGAGATGAAGGGGTGGGTGGGCGGACACTAGGAGACCAAAACACACAGCCAAGGCTGAAGGCCACTGGTCTGATGTTCTTGTTTAGCTCCCAAATATTGCTCTACATTTAAAAAGCACTTTCTCCTAGTTCTCTTTCCCTAACTCCCCTCTGGACTGCAGATAGCTGGTAACAGAAACTCAGAGAGCTATGTGACTTCCTGAGGGCACACAGCTCTAGGAGTCATTAGATCTCCTCCTCCTCTTCTTTCTTCTCCTTCTCCTTCTCCTTCTCCTTCTCCTTCTCCTTCTCCTTCTCCTTCTCCTTCTCCTTCTCCTTCTCCTTCTCCTTCTCCTTCTCCTTCTCCTCCTCCTCCTCCTCCTCCTCCTTC